AATATATAATCGTGAATCGCGAAAATTATTAAAAGTTAATTCTGAAAAATCCTCTATTTATCTTACTGCTGACTGCTTAATTTTTTAGCTGCTTTGCTGTTATTAAAATGTTTCTAATTGTTTAGTGTTACTGCCTGCTGATATTCTTCGGATTTAAACTGCTTAACATCTGTACACAAGTGATAATAACCCGAAAGGCAGACGGAAAACTTGAAGTATATTAAATAGAAAATAGTTTAGACCCTAGCACAGAACCTTGCGGGAGTTCCTTTTTCAAATGCAAAAATCAGTATTTGCTTCTCTCCTAACTCGAGCGAGTCGCACGTAACCTGAATCGTGCTTGCCTTTTTTTTTCGCGAACTGTCATCCGGTGCAGCTAATCGGATGTATACAGCACGAAGTCTAATATTTTAGCTCCTCAATTCTGCTCTGGTCGTCGGACCGTGTCGTTGTCGAACCTGCGCCGAGAAAGCCGACTTTAATGTGAACCGTTAGAAGATGCGAAGTGTGAAAAAAGGTTACGCCTTTGGAGAAATTCCGCGCCGAAGAAAAATCTCTATCGCAACAAAGATTTGCGCCGCGGCCCACGGACGCTTCGCAGATACTCGATATTAAGAAATTTGCTAGTTTTACGCACCGAATAGTCTAAATTATGAACAACGGCGCTAATAAAAGTAAACGTTCGGGATAATTTATGTGCGAGCCTCATTGTACAGATACATATTTGTAAAACAGCTCTTTCAAGTGCACACTCGCGCATTGGTCACAAGTGGGCTTATAGGAGTTATAAATTTCAACATTAACAACTGGAAAACTGCGGGGTTTTATGCCCTGTCATCGTAAATAGCGGTCTCGAAAGGCCTATCTTCGGCGTATAACAGGTGGTATTTGCATTTCAACAGAATTAACCATTTAAAAGGTTTTAAGCCGAGTCCAACCAGGGTAATTGTTAGAATTTATTAAGGCGTGCGTCCAGTGGATGCCTTGATGGAAACTACAAGTTGCCTCAGGAAATATTTCGGCAATTATCGATATCGCACGTTCGCTTTTACACCACATCTTATGAGCACCGGCGCGTCATCTATATGCATGTTCAATTGGAAAATACCCTAAAACTTTGAAGCCAAGAATTCACAATTAAAGATTCTCATTCTCAAAGTTGCCATTGAAGTTGTATATAATAAATCTCAATACATAAGTGCAAAGTGCTAATGATCGGTATACACCCATTATTTTACGCGCTAACGCGTAGAAAGGATTACGTCAAGAAGTGAGTGACACATTTCACTTATGGCTTGACCAAATATTTTCGAAAAAATATAACCTGGTATGTTTTTTGCGTGTGGATTGATGTAGATCATACACATTACCGAAAATGTTATCACCTCGAATTTTGTCTATTTTCATCGTCTAGGTATAGTGTGTCTCAAAATGTATCCATCTTGACATTTGACAGACCCTCCCGCAAAGTGTAATTACGACCTTCATACCTATTGTTAGTGAATAAACGAAACAACGAATAATTTATACATAGGTAAGGGACAAGACAGGGGCTTGTCAGGTAAACGTCGACCACATGTCGATCACTAATTTTTCCGTTATGTCTCGTCGACATGACTTGTCATTAGACGCAAAATAAATTGTGAAAAATGTGTACGAAGGCTTAATAAGTAGAGGAATCATTAAACAAGAATAAAGGATATTGTTAACAGTGAACTATCGAATGAATGATTTTCAATAATAATAATAGGTTTATGATAAGAAGGGAGATATATATTCTCTTTATCAAAGCCAAATTTTTTCTACTTTGAATAAACTTTAAAGAAAACTAGAAGAAGATAAAGCAATATAATTATTTTCCGTACCACCCTCCCTAGAGTTTTTGTAAAATGGGATTTAAATATCGCAAAATAAACAAAAAGCAAATGGCAAGGGAATCGCATTGATTGAGCACATGAAGATTCGGTTGCAGTTTTATTATAAAAATAATATAATATTTAACATTTATATTCTTAAAACACCTTAAAAGTCTGCCCTAGACTGCCGTCAAAAGTTAAGTTGATACACTGTGAGACAGACCATACATATCAGACATAAATACAATTAATTTTGGAATGATATTTTCTAAATTATCTTTCGACCCAAGAAACTGATAACTGATGATTCCTTGTTTGTCGCATACTTTATTAGTTTCCCTTTGTTATGTAGTGTACACTCAGTCGGGAAATTGATGAATTAAATAACAAGTTTCACTTAATACTTACACAAAATATTAAGAAAAAATTAATTTTAGGAAATGTTTGCTCACACGCAGAGTAAGTTTGGCTTACAAAAATTTCTTCTTTCAAAAAAGCAGACTTTCTAGATGCCACTTGCTGAAATCTGAAGAACCTGAGAACTAATATCGTGAAGCGTGAAGTGTGAAGCGTTATTTATAGTATAGTATAGTATGTATAGTACTAAAAAGGCAAATTTTAAGAGATCTCCGCATCACCTTGTGGATCATAAGTCGTGTCTATCGTAATGTCCAAGAGAGATAGTATCACACTTAAAATTGTGCGTGATTTGTTTGCAGGAATTCAAGAAACTGTTTCCGAAGGAGTTCGTTACATAATTCTAAATTCTTTCTTCGCCGCATGTCAACGTAAACTAGTCGGACATAAGTGCTAATGGGCAACGCACCTGAAAGAGGATCTAATTGTTGAACAAAGGATTACTACACAAGGAAATGGGTCTTCACACAATACTCGCCGACCCGGTCGCCTTCTGACGAACAAGTTATTCTTATTTGCCATCGTTATTTTATGGTTTGTTGAGTCTACTAATATTGGTTCATGCTAGAGTGACGATTTGCTATTAGGTCTAACCTTTGAGAAAATACCTCCGCAGCTAAAACATTTATTTAATCGATCACAAGTAGGATGGAAATGACAAGAAAATTATTTCATTTTCTCAGAAACATTCGCGGCATTGTATAATAAGTAACAAAAAATAAATGAAACCTAAATGACGGGATTGCCATATTCATTTCGTGCTAATGGAATATTTAACTGCCAAATGTATCTGAAAGCTATCAAAAATAAAGGATTTTGCGTTAACCGTTCACTAGAAAATTGCCTTTTCGATCTTCTTTAAGCGTTGCATCCGAAGAGCGTGTACGGGTAATCTGATTCAGTCGGATTAACCTTTAGCCTTTGAAACTTTTGATTAATTGTTCTTTAAGGGTTTGGTTACGAAAGAACGTAGAAGTAGAACAAGGAAGTGTTCGGAGCAAAATAGAAGGGACGGAAATAGTGACCTCCGCAGGTAGAATATTAAAACCTATTTCTGGGTTGGGGTTCTTTTTTATTGCAGTTTTATTTCTAATATTTCTAATAAATAAGTATACAGGGTGTTAGATAAAATAAAACTTGATACGTTACTTAATTAATCACTACGGTAAGCTATTTTGAGAATCATAATCGGCTTTGCATTTTTTGGTAAAACTCATAATGTGTTGTCAAAATAAATAAAAAATTAAATAGCTTAATAGCGACTTGAACTTGTGATGTTAAGGTTAATTTTAAATTCAAAAAACAGTTTGGAGGAATTGGCAAGAGATTATATTTTCAAAAATCAGTGACGTGCGGTTTTTCGCTAAAAAAGGGACCTGTCGGCACGAATCCAGCTGATGCAAGTAAAGCGCTTTAATCTAAATCTAGCATTCAGTGCAAAATATTAACTCGCTTTCGGTAGATTAAAACGATAGAAAATTTGAAACACGCACATGACGACAAAGCATTTTTCGAAACATGTTTATATAATTTTTTTCATATTTTTATATATGGAGTTTGCTTTTATATTTTATTCCAAACATGAAACAATTTCAATTTATTTAAAAATCGGTCAAATGTTTTTAATTATCCAATAAGCAATTTTTTTATTCATGATTCAAATTTTTTATCCAATTAATGATTTTCATACTCCCCCACCCCATCAAACGCGTATGAAAAGTGCGGTAGATCTTATATCATTAAAATAAGAACAATATTTTCCAATTCTATTGTTTTAAGAATTTGCGATAAATTTCGCACACCATGCAAAGGAATATTATAATAACGTCCGTGATAAATGAGTTTTCGCTTATGTGTGCCATCGACCGCCATTTATGGGATAATTATTATCTAATAGCCTAAACAAATCAATAGCGAAACGGGGCTCCGTGCAACAAGTCTCTTAATTTATCATTACCTTTCACCTATTCATTACTTACACATTCCACGACCTTTTCAATGAATTGATGTACAATGTTTAATCCGCGATGAAGTTTTTCCATACGTAGGATTTCGCATAGTGTTTTTCTTTCGCCTCCTTACGAAAACATTAAAAGTAGCGCTATTAAGTATAATATTTTTTAATAATGACCGCTCACTTAACAATAAATTAACATTTCAAATAAGTGACAGGCTGGTTGGTTCGGAAAATGACTCTATTCGGCGAAATTACTAAAATTGACCGTGACTAATACTTGAATAGCAGGTTTGAGGTTGGCTTGGGAACGTGACACATTTGTTTAAACGTCCTGTTTACGTATTTTTATGCCCCTCCTAGGAATGCGATGTCGTGTTCGAACGGAGTTTGTCATAAATACTTCTATAAATGTTATCCGTAAAAATTAGTACCCACCCAAAATTCAATCAGAATTCATTGTCACGCAATAAGGTGCCGATTCAAACCGTAGGAATGTCAATCACAATTATTACCACAGCATATGACACATAATCAGTGGCGTCAAAAAGTGGAGAATGTATATTAAAAAATTTGCAACAAAATTCATTATCATTATCATTTATTTTTAGCGAAGATACTCCTATTATCCTCAAAGGAAATTGTACCATTTAAAAGCAATTGTGATTAACCTATTACGAGGGCCGGTCAATAAAAATTCCGTGAACATCAATTCTAGCAAAAAATTATTAAAAATAAACAACCGTTCGGTACCCGAAGCGGTACCCACTCACCTATTTTTCAAATATCCACAGATCGGTACCGAGAAAGGAACGCGCACACAATCACATAAAAGGAAACGTACGCCGTTCCGCGAGATGTTGGGTACCAGTAATCTCGGTCGTACCGCAGCCCCGGTACCGCTAAACACTAAACTCTCTCTAACTGCGCGGAGGTGACTTAGAAACACACGGACGCCGCTCGCATCGACTTCTGATCGGTCGGTACCCGCTATGGTACCTCGTGCTGGGGACCAACACCGTGCCGATGGCGTCACAGGTGCTTCCAAGTGGGGTATTCGCGGTGGTACCTTTGGGACGTGGGTGACGAACCGATTTGATATGGATGAGCGAGAACTCTTCCTCGGTACGATGCTAATATTCGCTTGTACCTATCTCGTACAATGGAGACGAAGCAAACCACTATTATTTACATCGCTTTTCGTGATATATTCTATGGTTTTACTTACATAACGCTTGAGATCTTTGATGATACTTTTACATACTTTTAAATTTGGTACCCCACTCTATTGTACCGGATGTTAGTCTTTCTAAGGCAATCACAAATTCTGATTTTGGTTCTCTTTTCTTTCTTTAAAAGACCATTATATGCAAGGCAAGAACAAGAAGAAACCTGTAAAAATCACTACATCAAGCATAGAATTAATGACCTTCTGAAACTTTACTATAGGTAATCCGTCGGTCCTATTCCCTATTCCTCATTTATGCAGAGATCAAAATGTCACTTTTAAAACATCAGCTTCCTTAACTACTGTGACGAGCCACTTCGGATATTTCCGGTGCCTTGGTTAAGAGTTTGGTAGATGTTAACCTCCGATTTTAAATAAATAAAGAAAACTTAACAGCAAATCAAATCAAATCAAAATATCTTAATAGTACATATTTGATCCACAGTCAATCTTTATACTACAGGTCGTAAGCCATTTTTGGTCCACTGTCATTATCTACACATCTTTCTGGTGGGCGCCACGATATATGTCGCCGTCTATAATACTACCATTTATTTCCAGCGTATCAAAAGAAACTATCAATTTCGGTTAAAGGGAGGAACTTGCTGGCGTCAACAATTGGTGAATCCTCTAACCTCCTACGTCGCCTCGTTAAAGTTAATAGCATTGATTTTGATGAAAGCGATATCGTTGCAAAGACTTAGATCGGCTCCTGAGGAAAACGAAGTGGCCAAAGCGATGAAGTCGTTAAAATAAGTTGCGGCTGATCTACTTATAGTTAAAGAGCGTAAAACACGCACAAATTACCGCTGTTCCCGCGCACATATTTTTTTATTGCATCGGTCGTCAAAGGTTTCGAATCCGATACCTGTTATCATATCTCCAATTACTTTTTCTTCTTTTGCGTTAAATTATTTAAAAGACACCGCCAATAATTGGACAGTCTAGACCTCCGAGCACGCAACGGCTACCATACTCGAAAAAGTGGCTGGGTTCTTGTCGAGCCGAAAAAAATTACGGCCTAATGCAAGCGGTGTTACCTTTCAAACGACTTGACTGAAAATTTAATGGCGAGAAAACGACCGGGCAGGTAGAATCGCATCGGTGATGTTTTGGGAACCCTTGGAGCAGACCTTAATTGGATACCTAGTTGGGCAATTCTGTATTACCATCTTAGGCCTGCTTTCGTTTTTTAAGTGTGCTAGTGAGATAATTATAGATGTTGGCTCTCTGTGTTTATTGATTAGCCGATAAGGTTTAGTACGGAAGGCTACGACATGGTTGTAAAGTAGGTTATATTTACAATTTAGCTTACACTTGAAAAACTTACATTACAATTTCGTTTCCACCGGCGTCTAAAATAGTGACTACAGAATAGTCATAGTGCCTACAGGGCAGTTTCTGAGGTAGGTGGTAACAATTAGAACTTAAAACGCGCGAAAAACAACTTAACCCCAAAGACTATGGATTGTAATTATAAATATCGAACAACCTGTTTACATATACGAGGTCTGTTCAAAAAGTAAGGTGACTATTGTAATAAGAGGTACTACGTACATTCGATCCTCGATATCTTTGTTTGTTATGTTAGTACACATGTCCCTAACATATGTTCACAGTTTCAGCCAGTTTGCACGTTTACTTTTTTGTGAGACAAAAGCATGGAACAAAGAATTTGCATCAAATTTTTGTAAAAAGTGGAATACAGTGCTGCAAAACACTTGAAATGATGACAACGGTACATAGTGAATCTATTTTTAGCCAAAAAAATGTTTATGAATGATACAAGCTGTTCCAAGATGGTCGAGAAGACTCCGATGACTTAATTCGCTCTGGACACACCAGCTCGACAATAAATGATGAAAGCGTTGAAGAAGTGAAACAAATAGTGTTGAAATATCGTCGAATCACTATTAGAGCTGTAGTTAAAGACGTTGGCATCTCTATTGGTTCGTGTCATGCAATTGTTTCCGATGTTTTGGGCATGAAACGTGTAGCTGCAAAATTTGTTCCGAAGCTGATTAATTTTGAACACTGTCGAAGGAGCATCGCTCAAAAGCAGTTAAACGACGTCAATGATGATCCTGATATACTCATAACTGGAAGAACCCAGAATCAACAAGAACGAAAAAAACGCGTCAACTTCAATTAAATGTCGAAGTTTTGCTTACTGTTTTCTTTGATTTTCGTGGCGTAGTAGATCAAGTGTTCTTACGGTCGTACGGTCAATAAAGAGTACTTTCTTGAAGTTATGCGCCGTTTGCTAGAAGCAATACGAAGAAAACTGTTCATGCACCTGCTCACTCATCATTACTTGTGTCTAACTTTTTGGCCAAAAACAAAACTACAATCATGCCTCAGTCACCAAATTCACAGGATATGGCCCCCTGTGACTTTTTCCTGTTCCAAAAACTCAAGAAACCCATGAACGGAAGTAGATACCAGAAAGTGCTTCGTAGATTGGAAAAAACATTGATACAAGTGTATTGTATCTGGGGGATTACTTTAAAGGGGACAACATTAATTTTGATAAATAAGTAAATACTTTTTGATAAAACTTAAAAGTCACCTTACTTTGTGAACACACCTCGTATACATCTCTAAATGTTTCATTGACATCTCCATCGCACTCAGCTTGCTCAGCATATAAAAAATCACAGAACGAGAATTAAAGGTGAATTATTGCCTGATTAGCTACTAAAGCTAATTAGAACTTATTTCCCGGCGATTAGTTAATGAAGCATTGAACTTTATTAAGTTGCAGGGCAGTAGAATCCATGCTGTCCAAAAAATATGTGGAAAATAGTTGATGAATATCGTCAAAGCTTTAGGATAGATTGTTTTAACGATTTAGCTGTTTAGTGTGGTGAAAGGAGTCCATCGCAGTCAGCTTGCAAGGCAAGACGAGAATGAAAGGTGGAATATTGCCCGATTACGTGCTAAATTTAATCAACTGCTAATCGCCAAATGAGTTAAAGCGAGATTGAAGAAATGAATCACTATCCATGCTGTCAAAAATATGCGGTAAGGAATGATTTGCTTGTCTAGTGCATTCAAAATTTTACACACCAACTTAATTCAACAACAATACAGTTTCTATAATTTTAAGCTTCAAAGGATCTAATTGACTATGAATTATAATTATTAATTTTAATTCATAGTCCATGAGAAAATTGTACAGTCTGGAATAACATACGTACCTCTTAAAAAGTTTCATTGACATCTACATCTTATCCAGCTTGCTCAAAATTTATAAAATCACAAGATGGTGGGACGGTTGAATATGATTTTAGGTAGTAAATTAAGTCAATATTTACTTCACTGCAAATAGTTTATGAGAGATTGAAGAAATTTGTTCAGAACTTAAACTTCACTCCACACCGGCAAGGTTTTTGAGCAACGAGTATTATAATGATTTACTTGCCCAGTATGGCCTAGTATTTCAAGAAGAACAGCTGAAAAGGGAGTTCAATTTACCTCAGGGTTCGAAATTAGAGCTTTCACTGTTATTCATATAAGTGAGATAAGCCTGCGTCTTGTGGTGGGCATGATAAACTTAAGACTAGAATAATATTCCTTATAAACGTTGGTTAGATCGCGACGATCTAGCATACATCTCAATGGTCTCCTCCCGGTAGAGTGAGAGCCGTGGAGAATGAGAAAAGCGCAATCCCTGTAATAAATGGCAAACGGTAGAACTATTAAAAATGACCACCAACGTAAATGCAAAGTCGGTAATAAATAACGCGTGCCATCCTCTAAATAACACGTTACGCCGGGTACGTAGTCCGACAATCGGAGCCCCCGTTAAAAAGTGCCACGGTCTTAAATAATACCCGCCGTTCTGGTACACCTCTCCGCCAATCGCTGAGGTCATAAAAAGCATGCTGCTGCCTCCGGCGTTTGCTGCGCAAATCGACCATACTCCTTTTTCAGTTAAAAAATTCATGTGTGCATAAGTGTTTGTAAACAATCTTTTGAAGGAACAAAAAAATGTAATCGGCAGATTAAAATTTTGACTAGCTATAACGACCAGCATTGTGGAATTGTCAGGCCAAATTTTTAATGCCAATTGACCAGTCAAATGACCGGTCAATTGACGGAAATAATTTATTTATATTGTGCGTTACGTCGACATCGCGTCGCTCTGAGAACCAAATGGAGTCGATATTATTATTGGGATTCCCCGAATCGCTAAGTATCGAATTCGGATATTCGTTAAATAGGTTTATAGGTAAATTGAACATCAGAATCGCACAATAATTTATTATAAAAAACATATTATTATTGAAAAATGATAAATAACACTCTACAATTGCAGATGTTATTTAAAACATTATGATTGAATTTGACTAGTCAATTAAGAAGTTTTTTGACGGTTTGACGGTCAATTGACCAGCTCCAACACTCGTAATGACATGAAGCTTAGTGTTGTAAAGTTAATTAAAAAAAAAAGAGCGCTGTTTTCTTTTTTTGTGAATGCCCCTGAAAATCAAAATCAATTCAAACTTTATATAGAATGAATTAGGAGCTTTAAAACCTTTTGAACAGTAAAACTTAACAAAACTGTTAAAAAAATCAAATGAAATCGTTTTTTTTTTCAATTTTTTATAAGCCGCTGCTGTTGACTACGTTATTTAGATCCATGATGCTATTTAGATGCCATGTGCAGTTTTCTACTTTTAATTGAAAAAAGTAAGAACAAAAGAATTTTACGGAATTAGCCATCTTTTTCAAAATGGA